GAGGACCCAGACTATTGTCCCCCCCACTGAACAAGGCCAGTCAGACACAGAGGAGTCCTCTGATGAGTCCTCTGAAGAGGAAATGGATATTGAGTCTAACAGAATGAGCCCATCTTACTGCTCTAGCCACAATATTCTGAATTAGTCGCCCAGGGCTTGCACTTGGGTTTAGTACTGTCTCCCCAATAGATGCATGGAAGATGTTCATGTCTAATAATATAATAGAAGAGGTGCTGACATGCACAAACATGGAGGCACGAAGAGTAGCCATAGACAGGGGGAAAGAGTGGAAAAATGTAATCAAACATAAGCTCCTGGCCTTCATTTGATTGACCATTCTTGCAGGAGGTGAGAAGAACTGGGATGTACCAGTCGGTGTGTTTTTTGGGAGTCCTCTGCAGAACCCATGGTACAAGGCCACTATGTCAATTCAAAGATTTGAAGATATTCACCGTTTCTTGCACTTTGATGACAAGAGGACCAGAAAACAAACCACATGGCAGCTTTCCGCTACATATGGGGCCTGTTCCTGGTCAACTGCAGGCAGAAATTCATCCCTAGTGATTGTGTTACAGTGGATGAACAACTTGTGCCTTTCAGAGGCAGCTTAATTACCTGGACGCTGGTCATATTGGCAAGATTCTCGTCACTTCTCTGCAGTCTAATCCTCAGAATCAAAACTACAAACCATTTTCCCCCACCTGTCCGTCCTGTGGATCATCAGGAAGATAAGGCTGGGACCTCGTTCACCCACTCACCTTTCAGACGCTCATTTAGTTCTCCTCCCCAAGGCTTCATGACCTCTACCTCCACCAGTGAGCCCCCGAGATCAATATTCCTCTCACCTCCTGGTATTCACTCCTTCCTCCCAAGTCTAACTACACTCTCCCTCTGTTTGAGTGCCTTCATTGCTATCTTTGTGTTTATTATAAACTTGTAAATCACTGTTTCTGTTTGGTGTCTTTGCTTGGGTCCACTCCTATGGACTGGCCTCTGGGCTTTACTCTAACAGTGAGGGTATCTAGTGGCTTGGTGGTGGGGGGTAAACTTGTAAGAAAGACTTCAGAAATTTCATCATGTGGCAGGAGTGTGCAGGCAGTTCCTGGAGTATGAAGGAACTGATACCACCGACTCACCCCCACGCTTGCATGACATAAATCTAACAGAACACCTCTGGGACATTATGTTTCATTCCAACACTGCCAGGCTGCAAATGTTACATTTGTACTTTATCTGTCCTGAACGTCTTGCATCTGCCCCTGCCACTAATATTAAAAATACTAAAGTGCTAAAAGTAAACTGCAAAGAAAAGAAACACTCTGGAATGTAACTGCAACTAAACCCAACTCAAAGTTAAAAATATAAAAATATAACAGCTTTGGTC